GAACCACTTGCAGAATTGAGTGATAATGATTCGTGGGGACATCAGACACTGAAAACGATTTTGCGACTTTGCTCAGTGATGTGCAAACTTGGAGCTATTTTTCAAATTTGAGTGTTTTTGGTTTGATTATATTATTGAATTAAATTTATTATTATTATTTGTTATGCATATCTATTAAGTTATAATTTATGATTTCGTGTTTCAAGTTTTATCCTACCCAAGATGTTTACTAGACTCTTGTTTGGACAGATTTCAGTGAGTTATTCCTAAAAATTACAGGCCTACAATAAAAAAAAAATACATATTTCCATGCAAAAAAATGTACCGCTTTCAGCACAGAAATATGGACATAGTCAGACCGCTAGGGAGGTTAAAGTGCTTTTTCTCTCCCCTAGACTAAATGAACAGTTAAACCTTGTAGTGCAGGCACAGTCCCACAGCAAGGGATAGTTTTCACATTTCCTGGAGTTGGGTTTTAAATGGAAATAGAACTGCACATCTCATATTTTTAGGTGGGAATCTGCATTTTAATTAAAAATATAATTCCATAAGCAATAAGCAGTAATTCCAGAAATTACACATGCCTGCAATATGACCCTTTTTGTGTATATGTGATCCCATCTAGTTACTTTCTACTGAGTTTGATTCATTAGTGAGCCCCTCTCCATATTCATCTATCAACAAACTGTAATGGTTAGCAAAGAATTGAGGTAGAGGTGCGGTGCAGTAAGAGCATGGCTTGTTTGCACATTATGGAAAATGACCTTTGAGTTTACTGTGTTCTAGCTTTGTGCTATCCACTGCTGCTCCATTGCAACCCTTGTCATCTTCTTCTGCTGCCAGTATCTTCCTTCTTCAGGCAAAGGGTGGCCAGAGGTGATGCAACACACCTGTATTTGCATTGTAATTGTATTACCCAGGTAGCACCCTACAGATGCCTGGAGTGTATATTGTGCATGCACTGAAGGTTGTGTACATAAAAAAGTAAATGCTAGTAGAACAAGAAAGATGATTTTTTTAATAGACACGTGCATTTCCTTTCGTAAAGAATCAATTTTTGGATGAAAATTAGATTTTTGGAGATTTGGATGTATACAAATCTCCAAATGGACATAGTAAGAAATGTCAACGAATCCGAAAATAAAGTATGACGAAATAAAAAAATGCATTTGTTTCATTCTGATGATGTCACATGATGCAATAGTAGTTCAGGCACATGGGGAAATTAATTCAATTTTAGAATTTGTTTGATAATTTCAGATTCAAGTACATTTATGATTTAATCTGAATTTGTAATTGTCACAATTAGTCAATTCAGTTCCACAGCTTAATGCAATTCTTAGGTTTGAAAAATTTGGGGCCACCACATTTTGCATTATTTATTCCACTGTATCTGAAAAAACTGAATCCTCCTGAATAGTTTTGTTATATGAATATTAAATGCACCCAAAATATTGAAACCAAAAATTAATATAAAGCAATCTTTCGAAACAACTGCACAGTTTTTCGAATCCACCCGGTCCAATGAAGATACAAAAGAATTCTTAAAACGAATCTGTTCAACATAACGAATATGACTAAATGAAATCCTTCAATGAATGAAAGCATCTAAAACAAGACAAAACTAAAATGTTCTAACGTACATATGTTTGATTCTCAACAAAAGAAAAATATAAATTCTCAAACAAAAATTACCCACCAGTTATTTCTTTTCTAAAACTTTAGTTTTGCTTTAAAAAAAAAAAAAAGTATTCTGCTTCAGGAAACATTTACCATAATTAGCGTTCTCCTTTAATTATAACCAACACGTATGGGCTTTTTTTTTTTTACTTATTGATTTTAGCTATGATTATGTTGAGTTGCGTATACTTATTTCTGAGAAAAGCAGATCCTTGAGGTGACTACATCAAAAAATGTGTGGCAAGTTGTCTATGCAAAATTTTGGACTGATAAAAATAGACACATTACCCATAGGAATGTGTTTACACCTGTTCACCCCTGTGAAAATTGCATCTCTGTGTGTTCTGCGTAAATGTAACTGGGAAAGGGTGAAAGACAGTGTTATTGAACTATTTTTTCTCCAGGTCGAATGCTCTTCAATTTTAATCAGGAAATACTGCTGTATGATCACTATATCGAGCTGATGATTATAGAAAATAAATATTTATTTACTATGATCATCAACGCCATCTGGTAACTATAATGCAGCATTTTCTAAATTCGCTGTATTTTGTATAAACTAATAACATTCAGCCTGGAAAGAAAACTGCTTAATAAGACATGTTTTTGCTCCCACTTACATAAAGTGAATGTACGTGCAGTTTTACATGTCAAATAGTTCTGAAAACATTCAACAAATACACCCCAGAGTGTTGCTTGAACATGTCTGTGAACAATTTGCCAAACAGGCTGAAAATCTTCAAAAACAATGAACCCAAATCTGAACACCATTGAGTCAGAATTTGGGTAGATTGTACGCTTTGCACTCCATCCACTAACTGACAGATTACTGTCTGCTGTATTACTGGCGTGAATCCCATGTGATGTCATTGACCAATTTGGTTAATGTTGTCACCTGGGATTCCCAGCAGTAAATTTAAATTACCAAAGGCTGGAATCAGTCATTTAAAATTGGGAGTGCAGCTCGCACATTATAACGCTGGACGCCGTGATTGAAGTGGATTATTTCACTGGGCGCCATAACTGACACTGGATTTACTTCTGGGAACATTAGTAAACTTTATTGAAAAAGTTGGTAGGATTGTATTTCTGTTTTATTTGATTCTTTGATTTGGTGTGTGTATTTTTTTACTGTTCACTCTTTGTAGGAATGGGTACTGGGTACTAATGTACCCCTGTACTCATTTCCATAGGTGGGGGTGGGTATCTGGTCGCCCCCTTATTATAAAGGCAATTAACAGATCCTACCATAAGTCTCCTTCAATCCTACCTCCTTTTTGGGGCACACATAGGTGAGGAAGAGAACCTTATCCCTCAACATTGGGACAAGGGTACTTTGAAATAGATGAAGTCTTCGCCAACTCCCATTGCAAGGTACCCCTCACAATGTTGGAAGGCATGTGGTCTAATATGTTACAGGAAGGAGAGGTATACACTTGCTGCCCTCCCTTGCCTGGCCACCCAGGTTGCATGGCTGGATAAAGGTCTGGCTAGAATAATAAAGTGTTACTAAACCCAGCAATCACTATATCTGGTCTTCCACAGTACACAGAACATGGAAATGCAATTATTTTAGTAAATATAAACTGCTAAATATCTTTTCTCATCAGCAGTTAGTGCAGTCTTGTGACTTAAGCTGAGCACTGGTTAAAGCTTGTAGGAGGAGTTTTCTTTCTGATCTAGGAGGATGCAAAACCCCTGAACTCTATCTGGACAGTGCTGATCACATGCACTCTCCCAAGTAAAAAAAAAAACCTCTCTAGCAATACATATTAAAGTGATCATGTGCAGAAGGGCTACGGGTTCAGTCTGTCTTATCAGCATGGACATTTGAACAAGAGCAGGAGCAGAAAAGACAGGATCAATCAGCATTTTTACTCAAAGCAGAGGATTAACTCCTTAGATTCCACAGTGAATATAACAAGCATGCTTTACTGTATATATAGACTGATTTTACTGTTGTGGGTTTAGTAACACTTTTTATTTTACATTACTACATACCCCCCCCCCCAAGTTTGGTAGGCTTTCCGTGTCATTTTGGTGACAATACATTGTGGAATTATTAGCCATCCCTGTACCGGTTATAATGTATCAATGTAAATAGACTGTTATGTGCACTTAATTATGCACTGCTTTTAGCACCTTTTTTTAACGGAATTCAGTGAACTTGTATGTTTTATTCTAGATTTTTAGAACCAAACCTGAGATATTTGGGTCAAATTTATTGTTTTCCTGAATGTGAATAGCAACCCTAATTACTGATAAAGCATCTTCCAGGACATAAAATATGAATTGAAAGCCAGCAATTGTGATAGATGCTTTCAATATAACCCAACATAAACCAGAGAAGCCGCACAGTCTTATGATTTCCCACAAGGGCCTCAGCTGGTTCAAGGAAGTGACCCTCTTACAATGAAAGGTTAAAATCATATGGTCCTGATGAATGACTTCTCTAACTCTGGCAAAGCCTTCCCCCTGGAGATAGCCCCGCTTTCACTATCAGACTGGAAAAATGACAATGTTATTGACAAGGCACAGTGTGATTTACAAAATTCTAAATTATACTAAGCCATATGCTAGATTCAGGTGAAAAAGTCATTTTTTATTATTAATAGCAGCTTTTCATTATTAATAGTACGTCTTGAAAGAAAAAAAGAATGACAGATTGCTTGCAAGTAATATCTCTTCGCATTTATTAGCACTATGTCATGTCCCTTTAATACAAGACTAGCTTAAATCACAACTACACATTGGGGTAGATTTGCTAAAGCTGTTTCACGCAGAATCTTGTGCACCTGTGCATGGTAGCCAATCAGCTTCTAACCTCAGCTTGTTCAAATAAGCTTTAGAAATAAAACCTGGAAGCTGTTTGGTTTCCATGCAGAAGTGTACGAGATTCTGAGTGAACCAGCTTTAGTAATTAAACTCTATTAAGTCACATAGTATGTAGTAAAGTGGAGGGGTTGATGCAGAGTGTGTAAGTATATGGTGTATTGCACTTACTGTATATATTTACCCCCATTCCTACTGTTTGACACAAGAAAGTTTATCTTTGGGGATGCAAAGAGATATAAATGGCCCATAGGTGCCACAAAAACTTTTTTCACCCTTAAATAGCTGCTGGGACAAGGAATCTACATACTTATAATACAAAGCAGACAATCCAAATGATCATTCTCTTACCTATTGTTTTTTCTGAGTATGAATTTCCATAGGTACAAAGCTCAAACAGATGTGTGTGTGTACATCTATCTATCTATCTATCTATCTATCTATCTATCTATCTATCTATCCACTATATTGCCAAAAGAATTGGGGCACCCCTCATCATTGGATTCAGGTTTTCCAATCACCTCCATGGCCACAGCTGTATAAAATCAAGCACTTAGGCATGCAGACTGCTTCTACAAACATTTGTGAAAGAATGGGTCGCTGTTAGGGGTTTAGTGAATTCAAGCATGGTACTGGGATAGGTTGTCACCTGTGCAATAAGTCCATCCGTGAAATTTCCTGGCTACTAAATATTTCAAAGTCAACTGTTAGTGGTATTATGACAAAGTGGAAGCAACTGGGAACAACAGCCACGTAAAATGACAAAGCGGGGTCAGCGAATGCTGAAGTGCACAGTGTGCAGAAGTCGCCAACTGTCTGCAGAGTCAATAGTTAAAGACCTTCAAACTTTGTGTGGCTTTCAGATTAGCACAACAGTTTGTAGAGAGCTTCATGGAATGGGTTTCCATGGCCGAGCGGCTACATCCAAGCCTTACATCAGCAAGTGCAGTGCAAAGCATCGGATGCAGTGGTGTAAAGTATGTCACCACTGGACTCTAGAGCAGAGGTCTTTAAACTTCTTAAACAAAGGGCCAGTTTACTGCACTTCAAACTTTAGGGGGATCAGATTGTGGCCAGTGGGAGTAGAAAATGCTCAGGCATCAGTAGGAGTAAACACTACCCTAGGCTTTGTGGTCAGTGGGAGGAACACTGTCCCATGGTTGGTGTCAGTGGGATAATTAGCTACCCATTTCTGGTATCAGTGGGAAGAACAGTGCCCTGTCGCTGGTGTCATTGGGAGGAACAGTGCCCCGTCGTTGGGGTCAGAGGGAGAAACAATGCCCCGTAGCTGGGGTCAGTGGGAGGAACAGTGCCCCATCATTGGGGTCAGTGGTAGGAATAGCACCCAACTGTTTGTGTCAGTGGGAGGAATAGTGCTCCATCATTGGTGTAAGCGGGAGTAATAGTGCCCCATCATTGGTGTCAGTGGGAGGAATAGCGTCCCATCATTGGTGCCAATGAGAAGAATAGCGCCCCATTGTTGTTGTCAATGGAAGGAATAGTGATTCCTATCAGTGGAAGGAAAAGTGCCCCAATGGCCAGATAGAAGCAAGCAAAGGGCCTGTGGGCAGCAGTTTGCAGACCCCTACTCTAGAGCAGTGGAGACGTGTTCTCTGTAGTGACAAAGCATACTTCTCTGTCTGGCAATCTGATGGATGTGCCTGGGTTTGGAGGTTGCTAGGAGAACGGTACTTGCCTGACTGCATTGTGCCAAGTGTAAAGTTTGGTGTAGGGGGGATTATGGTATGGGCTTGTTTTCCAGGGGTTGGGCTTGGCCCCTAATTCCAGTGAAGGGTACTCTTAAGATGTCAGCATACCAAGACATTTTGGCCAATTTAATTTTCCCAACTTTGTGGGAACAGTTTGGGGATGGCCCCTTCTTGTTCCAACATGACTGCGCACCAGTGCACAAAGCAAGGTCCATAAAGACATGGATGAGTGAGTTTAGGGTGAAGGAACTTGACTGTCCTGCACAGAGTCTTGACCTCAACCCAATAGAACACCTTTGGGATGAATTAGAGTGGAGATTGTCAGCCAGGCCTTCTCACCTGACATCAGTGCCTGACCTCACAAATGTGCTTCTGGAAGAATGGTCAAACATTCCCATAGACACACTCCTAAACCCTGTGGACAGCATTCCCGGAAGAGTTGAAGCTTTTATAGCTTCAAAGAGTGGGCCAACTCAATATTAAACCCTATGGACTAAGAATGGGATGCCATTAAAGTTCACGTGTGTGGAAGACAGGAGTCCCAATACTTTTGGTAATATAGTGTGTGTGTGTATATATATATATATATATATATATATATATATATATATATATATATATATACGCACACTCTTATAAAAAATGTAAACAAACATTTTGAAAATGTATTAAATAAAAGGACAGTTATGAAATAACACAGGAGCGACCAATACTGATCACTTACTGTATTTGTATTCAGAAAAGGAAGGGGCCGGTAAATTACATAATTACTGGCCTCTTTCTCTCTAGGGTGAATCATCCCCCATAACAGCTGGCAAGAGAGGAGAGGGGGGAAACCAGAAGTGCTGTGAGGGTGGCACTGCACGGGATCAGTAGTGTGTGCCCAGGCACCCCTGGTACACCCTATGTGCATGCTTATGCCTACAAGATTGAATAAGAATGCACAGTACATGTATGGGTCAGGCCAGGGGCAGGGGACACTTTAATATAAATGTGTAAATGCACCTCTGGTGCAATTTCAATTTAGGACATGATCACCTTTTTTAGGTGCCAAAATCTTTCAGCAATTAGTGTATGCATTTGGGTACTTGGATACCTGTACCAGTAATAAATTTAACACAATGAAAGAATGAAGAAATGCTGTAGTTACTTATTCCAACATTGAGCGTTTTGGTGTAATTTAATATTATCACTAGAAATGAGCGAATTATTCAAAAATTCGATTCGGCTGATTCGCCGAATTTGCGGGAGAAATTTGATTCGATGCGAATTTATTCGCTGCGAATTTAACTTATTTAAAAGGGTTTCTAGGCTTCAGAGAGCCTTTATATTAGTGCAGAACACTGTACCTTTAATTTAAATGCCCTTGGAGTCTGCTGGGGAAGAGAAATAATACTGTCAGTCAGTATGACATGCAGATGAGTGCCGTCGATCTTAGAATCACCGCACACTTCACTCATTTGGGCAGTCACGGGGCACGACGAAGAAGAAGAAGAAGAATGAAAAGAAGAAGAAGAAGAAGAATGAAAAGAAGAAGAAGAAGAAGAATGAAAAGAAGAAGAAGAAGAATGAAAAGAAGAAGAAGAAGAAGAATGAAAAGAAGAATGAAAAGCAGAAGAAGAAGAATGAAAAGAAGAAGGAAAAGCAGAAGAAGAAGAATGAAAAGAAGAAGAAGAAGAAGAAGGAAAGAAGAAGAAGAAGAAGAAGAATGAAAAGAAGAAGAAGAATGAAAAGAAGAAGAAGAATGAAAAGAAGAAGAAGAATGAAAAGAAGAAGAAGAAGAATGAAAAGAAGAAGAGGAAGAATGAAAAGAATGAAAAGAAGAAGAATGAAAAGAAGAAGAAGAAGAATGAAAAGAAGAATGAAAAGAAGAATGAAAAGAAGAAAAAAAGAATGAAAAGAAGAAAAAGAAGAATGAAAAGAAGAAGAAGAAGAATGAAAAGAAGAAGAAGAAGAATGAAAAGAAGAAGAAGAAGAATGAAAAGAAGAATAAGAAGAATGAAAAAGAAAAAAGAAAAGAAGAAGAATGAAAAGAAGAAGAAGAAGAAGAAGAAGAAGAATGAAAAGAAGAAGAAGAAGAATGAAAAGAAGAATGAGAAGAAGAAGAAGAATGAAAAGAAGAATGAAAAGAAGAAGAAGAAGAAGAAGAAGAAGAATGAGAAGAAGAATGAAGAAATGAAAAGAAGAAGAAGAAGAATGAAAAGAAGAAGAAGAAGAATGAAAAGAAGAAGAAGAAGAATGAAAAGAAGAAGAAGAAGAGAAGAAGAAGAAGAAGAAGAATGAAAAAGAAGAAGAAGAAGAAGAATGAAAAGAAGAATGAAAAGAAGAATGAAAAGAAGAATGAAAAGAAGAAGAAGAAGAAGAATGAAAAGAAGAAGAAGAAGAAGAATGAAAAGAAGAAGAAAGAAGAATGAAAAGAAGAAGAAGAAGAAGAAGAATGAAAAGAAGAATGAAAAGAAGAATGAAAAGAAGAAGAAGAAGAATGAAAAGAAAGAAAGAAGAAGAAGAATGAAAAGAAGAATGAGAAGAAGAATGAAAAGAAGAATGAGAAGAAGAATGAGAAGAAGAATTAAAAGAAGAATGAGAAGAATGAAAAGAAGAAGAAGAAGAATGAAAAGAAGAAGAAGAAGATGAAAAGAAGAATGAAAAGAAGAAGAAGAAGAATGAAAAGAAGAATAAAAGAAGAAGAATGAAAAGAAGAAGAAGAAGAATGAAAAGAAGAAGAAGAAGAATGAAAAGAAGAATGAAAAGAAGAAGAAGAAGAAGAAGAATGAAAAGAAGAAGAAGAAGAATGAAAAGAAGAATGACAAGAAGAATGAAAAGAAGAAGAAGAAGAAATGAAAAGAAGAGGAAGAATGAAAAGAAGAAGAAGAAGAATGAAAAGAAAGAGAAGAAGAATGAAAAGAAGAAGAAGAAAAAGAAAAGAAGAAGAAGAAGAATGAAAAGAAGAAGAATTCCAGTACAGCAAAAAGTGTATCTGCAGAGAGCTCCGCTATTTCTGACAGTTCTCTGACAGTTCCTTCACATTTACAGCGGTTGAAACATTGTATCTATTTATTTCCGAATAAAAACATCTGTATCCTAAATGGAAACAAATAGATACAATGTTTCAACCGCTGTAAATGAACTGTCAGAACTGTCAGAGAACTGTCAGAAATAGCGGAGCTCTCTGCAGTGACACTTTTGCCGGATGATCGGGAAAAATTTGATTCGTGCATCCGAAGTTTGCTAAAATTCGGATTCGATGCGAATGAAATTTTTCCTAATATTCGAAACGAATTCCACTTCGCCAAGTTCGATTCGCTCATCTCTAATTATCACCTTTATATGGAATAATATAGTCCTTTATGTCTTCTAACTGTCGGATTGTTACCAATCAGACAACCAGCATGTTCACTTGGAGCCTCACACCAAGAATTTTATCTTTGGCAACAATGCTTCAATAACAGACAACTCAAATCACATTCCCAATAGCACAATTTCCTCACTACCTGAACAAGTTAGGGTTTGTAGTGTACATGTGATGTACTGCTAGATCTTGTCAGTTTTGGGTAGGTCTTTGATGGCTTCACTTTTGGAGCATCCTCAGAGTGGGTCCCTTCTATTGCATGCAGATTGTGGTGGTAGGCAAGAAGCACTGTGTATGAACTGAAAGTCTTGGAAAACTGACACAGCAGATACAACACGAACACTGTTATCATACCGAGACATAGACTGTAGTGCCCATGAGCAGCAGGTCTAACACTACCAAAGCCCTGAAGAAGGGGGAGCTTCAGTCCTCTAAAACAGTGTTAGTTACATTTTATGTCATACACCAATAAAGTGATCACTTTTCTTCAACCAGATGGATTTTCCAAGACCTTCTATTCAGCTACTCACCTACCCCCACAATCTGAACCAGTGAGGTGTTTCTCCATCTCCTGCTCCCTTGCTTGCTGTCAAGACTCAATAATCTTTTGGCCAGTGAGGGAGCAGCTCTCTTTAGAGAAAGTGGCAGTTGCATTCCAGTGATTGTACCACTGAAGGTGTGACAGGTGTGTCATACTACATTCCAGAATATTATTGTGTGATAGCAAACGCTTTCACAGCCTAGCTATATCTCCAGGAGCCATTTGTTAAATAGGGAAGATCTTAATGGGATACAGGAAGCATTTAGTTAACATGGTTAAACAGGCTTAACAAATGAGACATGGGAATTGAAACTAATGTTCTAAAGAGTGTAGATAAATACAAGGGTCATCCTTGTCTTCTCTATTGTTCTTCTTGATGCTATAGCAATTACTTCAACCATATAGGTGTTTTCAGTATTCAAGTAGCATCTCCCTATTTGTAAAATAGTAAAACAACAAAAGTTAAAGAAATGTACAAAACACTGGAATTTGGCAAAAAAAAAAAGCTAAGCAAAAATAGATAAACACATAATTAGACAAAAAAATAGCAGAACTTTTTTCATTAACTCATTAGTATGAGAATGAAATCCTGTGGAGCAGCAAGGGAAGCTGAGACCACTAAATTTAGAACCAGTATAATAATATTCTACAAACCTAGACTATATCCGCAAATAGTTCACTTATCAATCTGTCAAGCATGCAACCGTATAAAGTCTAGGGACACTAGTCAAATCAGCTGACTCAGATGGGATTTCATAATGTCTGTCAATCATTAATGACAGGTGAATCTCATCAGGCTACTAATAGCATACCTGAAGCAAGGCACAAATTACTTCCCTGCTGGGAGACCCTCTCAGACTCGGAGAAGGAAAGTAAGCCTTAATAAGCCACCCGCTGACATAACCTCTATGCTAGCATGTCACACTCCCTTCTGCATTGTCTGTGTCGTAAAATGTTTTTCACATTCATGCTGTATGGAACATTAAGTCAAGTTACACTATCTGCTTGTTGCTAATTTGTTGAGAATTAGTATCTTGAGGGTAGTGAAATTGTTTTGTATATTAAAAATAATTCCATGACTGAAGAATTAAATTACATTCAGAAGACAGATTTGTCTTTG